CTAATTGTTTAACAAACAAGCCCAAGTGTGCATGTACTGCATCCAATCAGTCATCACAACGTTACTACACACACACACACTACAGAGGCGCTGGTGCTAATGTAAACGTCAATAGCCGCACTTATCACGAGGGCTCAGCAGACAGACGTTGATTCATGAGTGACAGTTTTTTAGCGTGATAAGTTATAACGTATCTGATTTTGAATGTAGTATGACTGTATATTCAAGTAATCACAATGCCATAATATAAGTTAAAGAGTGGGAGAGTGACTCAACACTCAAAACGTGAACTATTGTGGAGTGAGATGACAAGAAGGCTCTTTCATTGCAACTCCGAAATCAGAGCACATTTGAATTAATTAATCAAAACCGAAACTAAATATCTCGGTTTTTACGATCCTGTCTTTTATCTTTTAAACGGTCTAGATTGATAAATCCTTGAAAACTGCTAGACTTGATTATTTTTGACTGTGCAAAGTTCTGTATTATGTTCTACAATATGAACTTAGGCTTCCTCTAGTTCTGTGTAAAATTATAGAGCGACACGAAGGTAAGCGCATTATTGTTTTTTTTTTATTTAATTTTTTTAATTGTCGGATTATAATTCAGTATGTAGGCTATTAATGAATGACACCGTTTTGACTGTCATGGTGCGTGCATGAACGAGTGTGAAATGCCTGCTAATTACATTGCTTTTTCCTATCACTTATATTGGGCACTTTTTGCATTTAAATTGGATTATGCTGACTGCTGACATTGAAAATGATGTATTGTTTCAAGGGTATCGGTTAATTTCTTGATTGCTGTTTTGACAGTGTCTGATAAATCCTTGAAAACTGCTGGATTTGATTAGTTTTGACAGTGCAAAGTTCTGTTTTATGTTCTACAATATGAACTTAACAAGAGGCTTCCAGTTCTGTGTAAAATTATAGAGCGACACGAAGGTAAGCGCATTATTGTTTTTTTTTTATTTAATTTTTTTAATTGTCGGATTATAATTCAGTATGTAGGCTATTAATGAATGACACCGTTTTGACTGTCATGGTGCGTGCATGAACGAGTGTGAAATGCCTGCTAATTACATTGCTTTTTCCTATCACTTATATTGGGCACTTTTTGCATTTAAACTGGATTATTCTGACTGCTGACATTGAAAACCATGCATGTGTTGTTTCGAGGGTATCGGTTAATTTCATGATTGCCGTTTTGACAGTGTCTGCTTGCATATTTTATTCATGTTCGGTAGCCTAATTCTGTCCTTGCAAAGTTGGAACTGCCCCACTTTATAGAAACATTATGTCCTCTTTTGGAAGGCCAAACAAATGAGTTTCGCTTTCACAACGAAACACACAGTGGCTTGAGTGAGCGGAGGCCGGCGGATTCGACGAAGGAGGCTTGCGGCAACCACATGTGACGACCCCGGGCTGGACTCCGCTTCATCCACGGTGAAAGCCGATCTGGCGATCCACAGCATGAAGTTGATGTATTTCCTCAGCGACCAGCGCGGATCAGCTCTAGGCATGATGAAGCGGATATCGTCCTCTTTTGGAAGGCCAAACAAAGTAGTTTCGCTTTCACAACGAAACACACAGCATCTCCACGACATGGCGGCGGCGGCAACAATACTACAGCGAGAATAAAAGTTACGCCGCCGGTGTTATTGTTGGCGGAAGTGATATAAAAGTGTTTATTACATTTGAAATATGGATATTTTTCTTACAAAAACGCATGGATTCACTACAGAAGGCCCTTATTCACCCCCTGGAGCCATGTGAAGCACGTTTTATTATGAATGCGCAAGCTTTATTTGACGACTTGTGGACTGTTCAACTGCAACACCCGCTGACTGCAATGATAGAGCTTGGAATAGCCAGGACAATTTTTAATATAACTCCGACTGGATTCGTCTGAAAGAAGAAAGTCATATACACCTAGGATGCTTTGAGGGTGAGTAAAACACAAGCCAATTTTCATTTTTGGGTGAACTAACCCTTTAATTGAGGCAAGTGATGCCTGCAGTTCTTTAGATGTTGTTCTGGGTTCTTTTATGACCTCCTGGATGAGTCGTCGTTGCGATCTTGGAGTAATTTTGGTCGGCCGGCCACTCATAGTTTCAAGTTTTCTCCATTTGTGGATAATGGCTCTGACCGTGGTTTGCTGGAGTCCCAAAGCCTTAGAAATGGCTTTATAACCCTTTCCAGACTGATACATGTCAACTATTTTGTTTCTCATCTGTTTTTGAATTTCTTTAGATTGCAGCATGATGTTGCTCTTTAAGCATGCTTCACTTTGTCAGACAGGTTCTATTTAAGTCATTTCTTGATTCAACAGGTCTGGCAGTAATCAGGCCTGGGTGTGGCTAGTGAAATTTAACTCCGCTTTCTAAAATAATGTGGTTAATCACAGTTCTTTCATTATTTTAACAGGAGGGGGCAATTAATTTTTCACGTAGGGCCAGGTAGGTTTGGACAGCTTTTTTCCCGTAATAAATGAAA